CTGAACTAGGGAGCTGACTACTGGACTACTGATCTGACTCCCTCACTAGTGTGCTGACTACTGAACTAGTGTGCTGACTACTGAACTAGGGTGCTGACTCCTGAACTAGTGTGCTGACTACTGAACTAGTGCGCTGACTACTGAACTAGTGTGCTGACTACTGAACTAGGGAGCTGACTACTGAACTAGTGTGCTGACTCCCGAACTCGGGAGCTGACTACTGAACTAGTGCGCTGACTACTGAACTCGGGAGCTGATTGAGACACCCCAGAGATCTAGATTGGGTTTATTATCTTTCTGTTAATTATTCTGATCTTAAACACACAGATAAACTCCTGCTGAAGCGACTGAGAGACACACTATTGTAAAGATGGAGGTTATTAAAGAGGAGAGTGAAGACATGAAGATTGAAGAAGCTTTCAGAGTCAAACATGAAGATACTGAGGAACAAACAGGTTGGTTTTCATTCTCAAAGTCTTTCTTCAGTGATTCTGTCATGAGTCTCTTTATCTGTTATCTGTCTCGTGACAAAATTAATGATCACACATTAAATGAGGATAAAATAAATAGCCAGTATTTTGTTTATCATTAAACCCAATATCTACTTCTGAATTAAAAACAGTAGAAATCAGTCCATTTCTATCACTTAGCTTTGCAACCGTATCTAACAAATACACTTATTTTGTAACAAGCAAACCATGAAATGTGAGTGATCAACTTTACATTTGTTGCCTACATTTGATTTTTTATAAAAATAAATAAACATTATTTCCAGGCGTACTGATTAAAACTTCTTTACTCCTCGAAATAATAACATTTGAATGGAAATACGACTGAAAAACACTTTCTGAAAGGCTTTTTTTTTGTTTTTCACATTTTTGTGTGATGCAAATGGAAGCTGATAATATTCAAAACTTCACAAAATCTGTTCTCCAAAATATATATTTGTGGCTCACTGTCCAGTAACATGCACTCTCATGAGAAATTTGGGAATTTTTGACTCGGATCTTCATTTTGATCTTCAAATAAACATGGTTGTGAAAGCAGCTTTTTTGTTACAATGTGTCTCTATTAAAACAACTGCATTTATTCAGCAACCACAATTGCAAATAATTTAGTTGAGATCCATGCCGCACAAACGGCTCATGACAGAACACAGACTGGCTGAATTACACGTTCGTTTAAGCAGAATATCTCACATGGAGATCGCTAAACTCCAGCTTACTTCTTTGTCAGTGTTTTCAGATCGTTGTAGGTGCTTCCGTAATTTTGAGCGAGCACACGCGCATGGTTGCCAGATTGCAAAAATTGAGTGAAACACCGGGGCTGAAAATGTATCATTTTAACAAAGAAAGAAACTTACGAATGAGGAGAACAATAGAAGCAATCAAACCAACAAAGGGGCAACAATATGTAAGTGCATTGAAAAGTCCCAGTTCTAGCACAACAAAAGATGTCTTTAGCCATTTCTTGAAAATGGCTTTGATTTGATGCGAGCAATGGTATTGGCAACCAGTGCAAATCAATGAAGAGAGGTGTGACGTGTGCTTTCTTTGGCTTGTTTAAGTCCACTCTTGCTGCAGAAAACTGGATCAGTTGCAGAGGCTTGACAGTGCATGCTGGAAGGCCTGCCAAGAGGGTATAGTTCAGTCTGGATAGAACAACAGCTTGGACTAGACCAGTGGTTCCCAACCCTGGTCCTGGAGGCACCCCAACACTGCACATTTTGCATGTCTCCTTAATCAAACACACCTGATTCAGGTCATCAGCTCATTAGTAGAGACTCCAAGACCTGAAATCGGTGTGTCAGAGAAAAGAGACATGCAAAATGAGCAGTGTTGGGGTGCCTCCAGGACCAGGGTTGGGAACCACTGGACTAAACAAGTGCCTGATCTTCCTAATGTTGTGTAAGGAAAATTTGCAAGACTGGGCAGTTCTAGCAATGTGGTCTGTGAAGTTTAACTTATTATCTGTCACAACTCTGAGGTTCCTGGCTGTTCTGGATGGGAGTTATGGTTGACGAACCTAGCTGAATGGAGAGGTTGTGATGAAGTGGCAGGTCTGTCTTTGCAAGGTTGAGTTGAAGGTGGTGGTCATTCATCCAGCAAGAAATGTCTGTCAGGCAGGCAGAGATGTGAACAGCTACCATCTTGCTGGTATTAGAGGTTGTGTGTTTTTAGCATAGCAGTGATGGGAAAAGTCATGTTTCTGAATGACAGATTCTAGAAGAAGAAGAAGAGAAGTGGTCCAAGCACTGAGTCCTGAGGCACTCCAGTAGCTAGATGTTGCAACTTAAACATCTCACCCCTCCAGGACACCCTGAAGGACCTACCTGAGATGTAAGACTTAGAGCCCTGCATGGGCCTCAAATCTAGGCCCTGGCCCAAGACTTTCAGGCCCTTGTCCAACAGCTTATCAGAATTCTCAGCCCGAGTCCGACTGGAGCCTGTGTCTTCTCTCTCTCTCTCTCTCTCTCTCTCTTTTTCTTTTAAAAAAAATCACAAAAACCTAACTTGTGGATTTTATGTTTCACATCTTTTTTCATGTCTGTTGCTTTGTGCCATTTAAACTGGTGTTGACTTGTTTTTGTTTCTGTTCACCCTAGACCTGATGCCACTGAAAGAGGAGAGTCAAGAACTGAATGAAATGGAAGAGAAAGATCAAGATTTCATGACTGGGGAAAAATCTTTCAGTTACTTGCAGGCTCATGAAACCGAAACTAGGAACCTTAAAGTCCCGCTGAGTGTTCACACTGGAGAGAGTCCTTTCACCTGTCAACACTGTGGAAAAAGATTCACTCGAAAAGACAGCCTTAAAGTCCACTTGAGAATCCATGCTGGAGAGAAGCCGTTCACTTGCCCTCAGTGTGGAAAGAGTTTTACACAGAAAAAAAACCTTAATGCCCACTTGAAACTCCACACCGGAGAGAAGCCTCACACCTGCAAACTGTGTGGAAAGAGCTTCTCAATTAAAGGAAGTCTTAAAATTCACACGAGAATTCACACTGGAGAGAAGCCGTTCGTCTGCTCTCAGTGTGGGAAGAGTTTTAAACAGAAAAAAGAACTTGATGCCCACATGAGAAATCACGCTGGAGATAAGCCTTATGAATGCAAACTGTGTGGGAAGAGCTTCACACGAAAAGCAAGTTTTAAGTCTCACATGACAATTCACAAGGGAGAGAAGCCTTTTGTTTGTGATCAGTGTGGAAAGAGTTACAGATATAAAGTAGGCTTTAAACATCACATGAGGATTCACTCCGGAGAGAACTGTTTTAGATGTCGTAAGTGCCCAATGAGTTTCTCAGACAGGAATCACCTTAAGAATCATGTAAAAATTCACATCCTAGAGAAGACTTACATGTGCAATCAGTGTGGAAAGAGTTTTACAAAAAGAGCCAATCTTGAGAATCACATAAGAGTTCACACTGGAGAGAAGCCGTTCACCTGCCCTCGGTGTGGAAGGAGTTTCACACTTAAAGGAAACTTTAAGATTCACATGAGAGTTCACACTGGAGAGCAGCCTTACAAGTGTCTTCAGTGTGAGAAGAGTTTCACATATCACACAGAACTGAAACGGCATATGCAAAGAAAATGCTGTTTTCCACAGTGTGACAAGTCATTTAGAAAAAGCAATTTCATTCTAAAGAAAGACATTTCAGTGTAATGCAAACATCACACTTGCACATACATATGAAAAGTCATGTATTTGTCAGAACCTGTTGGTGTTCTTTGTTAAAGAGTACGGCAATAGAAAATGTGTATCTGTTAGAAATCAAGGCTACTTTCACACGACAGCTGAATGTGAGCTTCCTCTGATTCGACTTTATAACCACTTATTTTATTTGTATTGTTACATTTTTTATATCCTTGCCATCTTCTTTGCTGTAGTCTCAAATATTAAGCAGACATCCTTTAATTTAGACTATTTAGAGGCGTTGATGCTCCATGTCACATATGTTGGTTGTTTGTTTTGTGATGGGGTGTTTAGAATGTGTTTTTTAAAACGGGGACATTTCTGATGATGGCTCTAGTTGTAATCGGAGTTTGTGCGGAGTAATCGCTTTACTCCGCACAAACTCTCTAGAGTCTATTGTACTTTTCACTTTATTATTTTTGGGTTGTACGTGAAAGTCTTTTGGATTGTTTTAGAAATTAATGAACTCCCAAGAGTCATCTAGTTGTTAGATCCTGAAAATGTATAGTCACAGGTGTATCTCTTTAATTACCTCTTACTCTCTATTGTCTAACACCCTGACGAAGGCCTGGCGAAGTGTTAATAGAAAGTAGATGTTATTTACACTACTTTACATTACTTGGTGTAATGTACAGCAGTGTCAATGGTGCAGTGCATGAGAGGACATACTATACATGTACAAATGTTATTTGCATTAAATATATAGAAGACATTATATATTTGAATGTATTTTGATTGAAATAGACACGAGACACATTTTAAAATATACATCAATTTATTATGTTTTTGCCTTCCAAGAAAAGTTTGTCTGTTTTGTATTTTCTGAGCACAGCCTGGGAGAAGCTGGGCTTCATCTTCTGCGGCAAGGACTTTACATTCTGGGAAGAAATACCATTTTAAAAACTTGAGTGAGTGGCTTACTTGTAGTAGTCTCTGCATATTTATCTGGGATAGGGGGCACCTTGGATTATGTTACTTGCCTTCCAGAAAACGTTTGTATTTAATGTATTGTCTGAGTGTGCCAATGTCTTTCTGCTGGGAGACGTTGGGCTTTACATTAAGCAGCAGGGACTCTGCATTCTGGAAAAAACAAAAAACACTACTTAGAATGGCTTACATATAGTCGTCTCTACATATTAATCTGGGGTAGGATGGCACAGAAAAAGTTACACCTTGGATTTAATTCTTAAGATCAATTCTAAACACAGTCAACATTTTAAAGAAGAAGACAAAAAAAACAATATTAGAATAGAACCAATAGTTAAAACAAACTGCAATCTTTCATAATTTTAATTTTATAAATTGGCATGCTATCATCAAATAGTTGGCAACTAACCATCAAAAGAAAGATGCCACAGCTTGACCCATATGTTTGGATTGTAACATCGATGGAACTCAGAGTCCAACCAGCTAGGGTTTCAATGCCTAAAGAGGCTCGTGTCTTCATGAAATTGCTGTTGGAAAGAAAAGAGTCATCTTACACCAGGTGAAATAAAGTAATCAAAAACTAAAGGCACTACAGTAAAAGACCAACAATAAAGATTCCCACAACATGACTGATTAAGATTGAATTATTCAATGGTTAAATAAATGATTCATATGGTCCAACCTTACAAAAAATAAGCATACATCAAGTTCATTTATTAAGTATAATATGTATGCACTAGTAGTTTACTTGTAAGTGTACTATTTCAATACTACTTGGGACTAAACTTCCCACTTTTTAGTGTATAAAAGTTTACTTTTAAGTATACTTTAAGTGTAACAATACCTACATTTATGTACACATATAGTTTACATCTAGGTTTTTTTTCTGTCAAGTACATAAAGTATATTTCTGAGACGTACATAAAAAGTAGACTGAAACAAGATTTTTTCTTCTTCCATCATCTAATGATCCACAGACGTGAATACTCGACATACAAAACACAACAATGTTGAGACTCAACAAATAATAATAATAAAAACGATACATTCTGAACATTACAAAATAAACAACACAAACTGGTAAAAGTGAACCAAAAATAAGTTCAGTAGCACCGATAAAACCAACAAGAATCAAGAAACTCCACTGCATAATCTATTCATGCCGCACTGCATGCTGGGTACCTTCATAGTACATATGCACTGTAGAATTACAGTATGATATTCCAAGAGTGCAGTTAGATACAAGAGAAGTCCTACTGTGGAATTACTGTGAAAGTCATGCAATTATTAACCTGGAATATACTGTAATTTCACACTAACATTTTTTAACAGTGTATGAATTAAAGATAACTAGGGTACTGAAGACAGGTCAAGCGTTCAAGTCTTAGCATCTGACAACACATGAAGCAAAGAAATTAGCTTGTCCTGGGAACTGTCTTAAGCCTGACAGTAGACATGTGAAAGAGGGGTAATAAAACTGGTCCATGAGGTGCATGGGAAAACCTGTGCCCTACACAACCTCCATACACTACAAAATGTTGAGTATAGAATACAGTACACACCACCAATGTGCCAGGAATTCACGGTGCTTAGATGTGCTTTTGAGTGAATCAAGTACAAAGACTTTGCACTCTGGTATGTTAAATGCAATTAAGAACCAGTGACTGAACCTACACACTGGCAGTAAAGCCCAATGAAAATCCTGAAATTGCACCTATCAAAAAATATTAATACACACTTAAGACTATAGATCTCTTTTATACTCAAACTCTGCCACCACATGGAGATACATGCGTTGCTAGTTCTGTAGCTAGTGGGTACACACATGAATATTTCTCATTTGCACTCAATGAAAGTGTTTTATTTGCATATATGTTGATTTTCTGTGGACTTTCAAGGATGTCAATATTCGGGTTCAACCATCTCGAATGGATCAGTGAAATGTCAAAGAGTGGTGCTTTTTGATGCATTCTGCAAAAGAGAATGTGTGTACAGGGCAATCCGAAATTCACAGAATAGTTGCAAGTACATCCAGTCACATCTTTGTTCACTGTATGCTCAACAAATGTACTCTTATCCACCCAGGAAGCAGTGAAATCATCACCTTTGATGGTACACTCGTATTTACTATTTACAGAGATGTGACCCTGTTGAAAAAAACAGCATATGCTGGTTAGGTATGTTTTGACGCTGGGATGCTGGTTTAAGCTGGTCCTTTGCTGGTTTATGTTGATCCTTTGCCAGCACATGACCAGCATAAACCAGCATCCCAGCGTCAAAACATACCTAACCAGCATATGCTGGTTTTTCAACAGGGGAAACTGTCCCAATACCATTTGGAAAGCTTGATCAGACAGTATCTTGGAAAAATCTTCTGTAATACTGGAAGGTACACGTGTGTCACAAAGTAATGTACATATTCCTGGAACTTTTTATCGCATTCTCATCTCTTGATGAATTCCACTAACTGTGTTACAGCTTCTGATATTGAGAGGTTTTGATGGAGAACTTTCTTCAGTTTCTGAAAATGAGTCTGTTGTGCATATTGTTTCCCATTATAGGAAGTCTTCTTCTGTAACAATAAGCCCATATGTCTTGACAGGGGTCCCAAGTGTGTCAAAAAGAACTGGACAAAATCTTCATTTTGGTAAATGTTTTTCAGTTTTTGGACATTGTCATTTTATGCTGCCTCAGATGAACTGTACAGAATCTCCTTTTTCGTCTCTACAACTCAGCTATCTTTTTTCCCCCCAGGCTTTGATGACATGGATAGTGCATAAAAGCAGCTTTGCATTGAAGTTTTTGCAAAGGGCCTGTATCTCAGAGGAACCTTTGTCCAGTATAAAGTGCTTGATCTCAGTCCATTTTGAGTTGTACTTCTTAAAGATGCTGCACATTTGGGGCAGCATATCTTCATTTTCCTCTCTTAGGAAGCAGTACGCAATGTGTTCAGCTTTCCCTGAGCTGTTCTCAACCGTGAGACACTGCAGTGTCTGGATACAAATCAAACGTTTGCTTAATTTCTGAGATCAGCATGTACAGTTGTGATGAAAATTATTCATACCCTTGGTATTTTTATAGTGTTTTTGAGTTGTCTTCTGTGATGAATGAGTTTTATAATACCTTCATATATTTAATATGCGACAAACAACTGAGAGAATAACAACATGTGATATTTCAAGAAAGATGACATTTCATGAAGAATATAATATAGTTTAATAAAACATATTCTTAAATAAAGCTTTTAAACAACAGTGTGGTCTCATCTTTATCTGTTTGACTCTTCTGCCGCTTCTGCACACACTCACAGTATTACTGAGTTAATACTATAAGACATCATATAAATGTTATATTCATTGTTTTATAAATGTTAAATTCATTGTTATAAACACAATACCTATGGAGCAGTTACATAATTGCCCATATGAGGCAACAAAATAATACCCCATTAGACATAATATGTTAACTAAATACATCAAACAATGAGGCAGGGTAATTGTATTCTTATGCATATTACCCAACATGAAATATTACCAAATCCCAAGAATGAACCAGCCTTTGAACGTAATTATTTTAAGCTGAAATGGGTGGAAATTTTCACAGTGTATGCAACGTATTTCAGATGAGCAAACCTCTTAAAGAAATATGTCTTCCACATAACATGCGCATTATAGAGTGATGAAAGAGTGCTATCTGGAATGTGGAAAATTTTCCCAGGATCTGGCAACTCATAACACGCCGCTTAAGTCATGAGTGAAAGTGAAAGCAAATGAACAGAGTTGATGTCGCCATTTTAAACAGACAGAATCGATGATTTACAATACAAAATATCTTTAAATCTTTAATAGAATCGTTTACAAATGCTAAAGCAGGAATTTGTGTGCAGCTACCTGATGGGAATGTGAATTGGTATGTATGATATTTTTCATCCTAAATCAAATGAGCAAAGTGTCTTGGGTGTTTCGTGCTGACTGCAATTCTTCAAACCTCTAAACAGCATTTGTGTTTACATATGACTCTCCCTATGTATTTGAGTGAAGGCAGCTCGTTATCTATTTCTACAATTATTTCTCTCTCTCATTCAGCGAAAATATATGCACCTTATTTTTAAAGGGGTCATGAACTTATGAATCAAATTTCCCTTGATCTTTAGACATAAAACCAGTCAATGTACTATAAAAACATAATGTACATTTCAAAACTCATAACATCCTGGTTAGTTTAAAAATAGCTTTTATTGAAACCAAGCTCAGAAAATGACTCGTTTTTGGAATGTGCCACTTTATGATTTAATAGTGCAGCGAAAGCCCCACCACTGCAGGAGAAGATCAAAACCTGCTTCTACAAAACTGCATGTTTAGTCTCGCCCACTGATATGCGCTTGTAGTAGGACGAGAGGAAATATTAGAGACGCAAACAGGGGCGGTTTCTTCATTAGGGCGATAGGGCGACGCACCACCAAAGTGTGAAAAGGAGGGATTATTTTCTATCCTATTCAACCACAGTGTTTCGCTAGCTGTTACTATTCTAGACTTTGTTCGTTTGTTCATTATGCGGAATACCGCCCCTTTTTGGGCAATTTCACTCTGGCCGAGAATTGTCCCTATGTGTCCTCATAGACTTCCATACAAATATTTTTTTTTAACTGCAGGCACTGCAGTGTAATCTCTAAGGTCCCGGGAACGTGCTTTCATCATCATACGTAACCTTAACTTGTGCAGCGATCGGTGGGAACAAACATACCTCTATTAATTATCTTTAGGCTGAAGTCAGGACTAGTCTGTATGGCCTGAATAAAGCAAACCGGTTTCTCACCAG